ACATCCTGTTCAGGGCTTGTGAAGTGGTCAAGCATCTCTCCCAGTCCTCTGAACTCTGGATGGCTTTTCACAGCAAGATTAAGCCTCTAAAGAGTGTTTTGCTTTTGTAAAGCTTGGCCAGAGCTGTGGAATTGCTACAGTTTGATGGGAGACCTTCCTCAAGCTATTGCTTCTAAAGAAGCAGCACTTGACAGGAATTGCATCCGTGTTGTCAGGTCATGGCCCTGACAGCATTTGATATAGCTTAAATCTAATTGGTGCCTAGATGGGAACTGCTTAGGAACCACATATATGCTGCTTTGAGTCCAGTCATGGAATAAAAGTGGGCTATTAATGTACTAAATAAATAAGAATTCTTCCAGCTCACTTCTTCCAGTTTACTTCATTGATAATCTTCATAGAGACTGAGTGATGCCTTCTAAAGGTAAGTAATGTGACTGCTTCTTCAACAAGTTTTACTGACTTTTGGGAAAACTTATGCACTGCTGTCCATTCCCAGAGTAGATACTCCAGTCACCACCTTGATATCTAAACTATTTTTTCCATCTGAACTGACAAGTTGCCAAACATATGGCAAGACAGAAGGCTGCATTCTGCGCAGTTTTGACAGCTCCTCCACATGGTCCTTTTAGTAGTGGTGGTTGTAAGCGTTTGGGTTAAGGAAGCGCTAGAGAGGGCTTCTTGACTAAGGAACAGTGAAAATACACAGGAAAGAATTCCTCTCTATCTGTGTTATGTCCTTTGGCTAGGGGTCAGGTCTTTGACCCCCAACTTCATTGCCAGAAGAAACTTATAACTGTGAACACAGAAGTGGAGGGAAGTATGTGTTGATGCCAAGTTTAAAGGCAAACTTAATGTTTTGCCAAAGGCAAGGGTTCTGTTTGGATCCAGAAGCAATAAACACACAAGTGGGTTAAAGTCTAAAGATTTTATTCTAAAGCAGGCACAATAGTACAAGTAGGTACAATAACATGAAAAAATACACAATACCAAGCAAGCTGACTTTCCTTAATCCATTGTTGGGAGCCCCCTTGGCGACAACAAGGAATACCCCAATTTGGCTGGTATGCAGCACCTTCCCCCAGTTCGGTCTGCATCAAAACTCTCCTTTCCCCCCAGTTAGGTCTGCATAGAAGCTTCCTTTCTCCCTGGTCAGGTCTGCATTGAAGCTCGCCTTGGGTGGAGCTGCGAGGCTTTTTATCCTAAATTTTAGAGTGCCACATGCTGTAGAATACTGCATGCTATTCAAAGCAGTTAATTGGTCACACCTGCTGTCTGCAAGTCTCATGGTTATAAGTTCCACTGTTTACATTTTTCTCCTGCATTCCAAGGTCGTACCATCCTAATCAGCCACCAGCTTAGAATAACGCACTTTTGCATGCTGGAGAGCCTCTACTGAGTTTTAGGAGGCTCTGTTCTTAAGGTAGAAGGAGAGAGATAGGAATAGAAGGAGCAATTGTGTTACACCACCCTATCTCCTCAATATACAATAGTCTTCCAGTGGTTTTCCTCTACATTTAACCAGTATTTTTATTTCTGTGAATTAGTTCTGGAATCTGTTGAAAGTGGTTTTGGTAAACATTAAAGGCAAGCAATGGTTTTCTCCAGCTCACTGAAGAAACAAGTTATTTTGCCCCACTACTGCAAGACAGGCAACAAGTCTCAATAAACGGATTGCAAACTGAATGAAATAGTTGTTGGTAGATTTTGGCCGGTGTCAGGACTATGGGACAAACAAGCAGTAGCTGCCTGCCCGACTTTCTGAAAACATATTAGCTGGAAATCTTCATTTTGATGTAAGGTCTAAGCTGCAGAATTTGTGGACACAACATCTAGTCTAATTTCTGAAATTAATTGTCCTTCCCACTTCCCTTATGTGTTGTTTTTTATGACCAAACCAGATTAAGAGCTTTGGAGACTTTAAAAGTTTGCACAATTTCTTGCTGGATTTTGGATGGTCTTATTGCTTCACTGTGGACTTGAGATTTATTTGGGTTGGACTAGCATTTTTTTTAGATTTTGATAAAAACTTACTGGTGGAAAAAAAATATGAATTCAAAAAGCAAGTGTATTTATGTAAATTTCAGTATTTACAGTACTGAACTATAACAAAAAAACTAGACAATTTGATGTCTAGGCTGAAACAAAAGTGATTCCACATTTACAGTTCATCGATTACCTGTATACATGCAAAACATACACTTGTTTCAGTAATTGCAATTCCCTGCTTCATTTTATAGAACTTGTCACTCTACATTGATGGCTTTGACTCTGGAGGTTTTGGTTCTGAATCGATCCCTTCATCCCTCCGGGAGCAAAGATCAAGAACTCAGCCAAACCAAGGGAATGTGAGAGAGGTCCCCTGTACACAGTTCTCTCAGTGAGCATCAGCCCAAATGAATGTGGCACCTAGGTTCATGGCCTTTGGTCACCCAGTAGCATATCTTTCTGGAGCCTGATTTTTATATTTCTATTTGTTTGAAATATGTTGGTACTGCTCCTCTGCTAAACAGCTACCAGAAGCAGCTTACATATAATCAGTTTTAAAAGGTAGTCCCTGCTGCCTTTACAATCTAAAAACACACAGCACACAAGAAAAAGGGAATGGGGAGAAGAAGGGAAGAACAGCAGGTCCGATGGAGTGGCCCTGTTTCCTCCTCCCTGTCCCCTCTCCTCTCCCAGAGATCATCCTGCTGGAATGGCTGCAGATGGTGACAGTTGAGGAAGGAGGAGCCTTCATGCAGGAGGTCTTTCAACAGGGCAGGTGGAATGGCATAATTTCCTTGTCTTCTCAGCTTAGCCAATTTAAATGGTGCAAAGTAAGAAGGCTGGCAAGAACAGCATTGTAGTTGAAGTCTACATAACAGGCAGGGAGGTTTACATTTGAAGTCCCCCCAGAAATAATTGGTCCTCCTCATGGGTAGAAAATTACTTTGAGCTGAAAAGGGCAAAACACCCTGAAATGCACATGCCACATTCATTAGACTTTACCAAATAGAGTGAACTCTGAATCCAGATAAAATTTGGGGAGCCAATCGTAGGTGTTTTTGTGTTACCCCTTGACAAGAAGTGTTGGCTCATTGTGCCAAGATGGACATCCAAATGGGCATTAGAAAGGAAAACCTAGAAATCGACATCCTGTGTTTACCTGTGAGTTTTTGCTCTTCAAGAGAGGGTAGGATGCTAGCATAGGAGAAAGGCCCCACCTCTAGGGTTGGCAAGTCAGTCTCCCGTGATTGGATCAGCAGGAGGAGCCTCAGCCCCTAATTTCCACACACTACAGTGAAGTAACTAGTAAGTAAAAATATGTCCAAAACCAGACTTAACTGCTGCAGCCTGAAGAAAATTAGGCTCACAACTAATATCCTTTGAAGTGGCCTGGGGCACAGGAGAGAGAAGTGAGAGAATGACCAGATGAGAAAGAGCAAAGAGGGGAGAGGGAAGAAGGCATTCCTTGGAGCTCAGTATTTTTCTTTCCTGGGACCCAAAGAAGTGATCTTCCCTCCAAAAGAGAAGCATGTAGAAGGCAGGCTGAGCAGCACTCCTTCCTTTGAGAACAAAAGTCCACAGGTAAACCCATTTCTCCCTTTGAAGGGAAGATGGCAAACAGTGTTGGGGACCTCAAAAAGTAGTACATCCCAGGACTGTGCTAGTGTGCCAACTCCCAGAATATCTCCCTGCCCTCAGGTGCAGGACCTTTTGTGTAATGCATCCAAAGGCTGTCTTTGAAGAAGAAAAGGAAGTCTCTTTCATAATGCCTGGTAAAAAGGGAAAAAAGGCAAATGAAGTAATGGCTCTACAGACCTCTTCCAGTGTGGGCTTCCCTCAGAGATCCCCCAGTCCAAGAAAATAACAGCATGCCCTTCTGGTATCTGTATTACAGAAAGTAAGTGCAGCCATGTTGATGCTTTGGCCCAGAATTAGTTCTTCGTAGAGACAAAGACCTTTAGAGATTTAGAGCTTCAGTGCCCAGCAAACATAAGTGATCCACTTTATGCTGGATATGGACAGAAGCATGGGATAATAAACTCGAGTGTCCTGAGGAAAGGAGAACTGGTTTTGGATAAGAACAACAGGTACACATGAAGCACCTCTTTGTCCTGGTAGAAAAAATAATTCCTTTTCCAAAAGAAGCACTCTAGATAACTGTCTGCCTATATTCAAGTGGCTGCTACTAGGATCAGTACTAGGAAGATTCACCCATTTTTTAAAAGTCTGGTCAAGCTTGTAGAACTATTTGAAGCTTCCATGTAGGGTTCTGACCTATTAGTAGTGGGACAATAATGAAGAAGAGAAGCTTCTTTAGAATCTGAAGATCTGTGGTGGCAATTTGAATATGCTTGCAAACTAGTCTCTGTACATTGTTGCTGTTGCTTCTATTAATAATAATTATTTATTAATTTCTATGCTGCCCGATATCTCATCATCATGTGGTTTACAACAACACATAAATGACAATATAAAGTTTAGGTAACAATAATAACTTTGTAAGATTTCACTACAAAAATTAAAAACTGAATTTTAAAACACGTTTAAACAATTACAATGGACCTGTTAAAACAAGTTTGCACCTGTTAAAACAATGGACCCGTTAAACAGCTAATATGATACCCCAATATACCATTTAGAACTGTTAGACTATGGCAGAGTAAGACAGACTGTCCAGAAGAAAAAAAAGTGTTTCTGCTAAAGCTGCTGAGAATGTTCCTTTTAACACTTGTCTACTGGAGACACTTGTGTAGGCTGCTCTGCATTACTGATGGGGCCCACGGACTGAATTCTGAGAAGCAGCGTTCTTCCACCACCATCACCTTGCCTACGTGACGAGTTTAACCTTCCCCTTTCTCTTCGCAGCTTATTTGGCAGACCCAGAATTAATCATGATGTGTCCTGATTCTTCTCTGTAGGAACTTCCATACTTCTGCTATGTCAGCTCAGCAGCTCCTGACTTTCTGGCCTCTTCTTCACCCTGGTGAATATCCTGTTCTTTTCTCCTTTAGAACTTTCACCTCATTGATTACCATCTGGCTGCATTTATCATAGTGATGCTAGCACGGAGACTGGTATGGGCCCTCATCTCAGAGGTAATATTTTCGTGGTTATCTCGTCCAAATTAATCCAGTTTCTAAACAGCTTTTACATGGAGATAGTACTTTTGTTGCAGTATATGAAAATAACCATGCCCTCAGATGTGCCCTCAGTGTTGATGAAGTTAAGATTATTGCTGCCAGACCAGCCATGAAAAGCTACAGTAGGGAGGTAGAATTTGTTAGGGATAAGCAGCTGTAACTGACAGACCAAAACAGCACTAGTTACAGAACCCTCAAGTTCCCTGCGGTTAAGCAGCACAACAGGAATTTACCAAGAAGTTGTAGGGTTTACAGAGCAGGAAGTAGAGTGGAATGCATTGACAGGGTATTTCAGACTAGATGGCTGGGGAGGCCCCTTCTGACTCGCTCTGTTTCTATGTTTCTATGGTTCCTCTGGGTGCCAGTTCAAAAGTTAACTATGTACAGGATCTTTTAAAGTTGTGTGTGATACCGCTAATCAAGCCACTCTGTCTGGACTACAACCGTAATTGAAAAGAGTTTCCATTGCAGTTTGGGGTTATATAGTACCCACTGACATGTACCTAACAAGATTTTGGGTTGGAAAATTAGGAGCACTGTCCTTCCAAGATGTTGCTTTTTATAAGCATGTATAAGTGTACATATCTATAGTTTGGGCACTGAAATGGGACTGGTATAAATTGGACTGTTCTAATCCTTCTGAAGAAACTTGCTGCTGCTGCTTTCTCTTCCCAAACATGGCAGCAGAGATTACCATTAAGCTCCCAGTTCAGCAATGAGCATGAGCATTAGCACCATGCATCTAGCATCGTAACTTGGGATTTATGGAAACTACCTTTTTCATGTGGCTCTGAACTGCTGCATATATTCATGGCAGCATTAGGAGAGGGGTTACTAATGTTTTGGACTACAACTCTCATCAACTGTAGCCAATATAGCTCTGGTGAGGATTGATGGGAAATGTAGGCCAAAACTTCTGGAGGACTACAAGTTGCCTGCCCTAGCTACCACATGAGTTTGGGAAAGGGAAGTTTTGGGGGCCCAGAACCTACAAAACAGATGAGTTTCAGATTGGGCCCAGAATTTGGAGGGCTCGATATGAAGTGATAAATGGATCCTAGAGTACAAACACCTGGCATTACACTTAAATACAACAAATCTGGGGCATAATTGTTCACTGCTTAACAAAAGAACCATATCAATTGCTTATTGGATGTAGCGTTGCACTGTTTTTTAGACTTACAGCCCATTCAACTATAGTGGTGACTTATTCCTTGCAGAACAGAATCAAATGAAGCTTGACACATCTCACTCGGATGCCATTTTTCTCAGTCTCTTCCTTGTCTGTGAGAGCTCACAAAGACATTTTTTAAAAAAGGGAAAATGGTTTTGAATTTCCATAATAAAACACCAATACACCAATATAAAGGGCATCATAAATTCCTGTGGAAGTACTTGCTAAGTAATTTTTTAATGGATGCCAGTCTAAGACTTTTTTATTTAAAACTTATTTTAACTGTTAATTATTTATTAACTAGGGTTTTTTTTTTAATTAGCCAAGAATGCACTGGGGGGTGTTATTTATTGTATAATTTAGTACTTATTTATTTTATTACTTCTGTATTTATTTATGTGTTGTGAGCCTCCCTGAGGCTTTGTTGCGATGGGGCGGCATAGAAATGTTTTAAATAAATCAAGCAAGCAAGCAAGCAAGCAGGACAGGCAAGCAGTGACTCTGGGGCCACATGGAACCCTTTGCCTTATTTCAAAACCCAATGCTTGCAGTCAGTACAGACCACTGGAAAAACATTCTGCCCTTTATCTGGCAGCTGATTGCATGGGAAGCAAGAAGGACATGGAAAGGAGGTAGCAGAGAGTGGCAGGAAGGGAAAAGGAATGGCTCATCCATTTAGGTTCTGGTCTTCCCCACTGCTGGTTTTGAACCCTCTCACTCCCAGTATGTAACCCCTGATAGATTGTCTAAGAGGAAATGCAGCCTTTGAAGAAGAAATATGTTGCCCATCCATGCTGTAGGTATTCATTACTCATTTGCTAGCTCAGCCAAAAATGGAATAAAAATAGCTTCCCCTTGCATGTGAAACTAGGTCAAACTGTTCCTTGCTTGAATATCTTAGGAAATATTGTACGAAACAGGAATAATGACTGGAGCTGATAATACTCTGGATTTGAATTTGCAGGCCTTGCAGATGGGTACTATGTCAGTGATTCACTATATGGCACTGATTCTGGCACGCCTGGTGCTGCTCACCCTTTGTGGATGGGTGCTCTGCTGGACTTTGGTCAACCTCTTCCATAGCCATTCTGTCCTCAATCTTCTCTTTCTTGGGTACCCGTGAGTATCATTTCTCTTTATCTTGAATGTAACAGAGAAGGGCCAAAGACATAGCAAAGGGAAACCCAGTTCATCAACACATTTTGAGCAAAGGATGCCCTAGCTTTAAAGTTACTGCAGGTCTTTGGGGAAGATTAGCTAGAAAAGAAAGACGTGTGTCCATTTTTCTTGATGTATGTGTTATACACCAGAATTTTCATCATATAAGACCCAGACCATCAATACCCAGTCCAGCAACTTGATATAAGAATAGGTATAAAGATGGATTACAGAAGGGAAAAGAACAGCAGCCATCTGGGAGGCTAGGCAAATTCCAGCACTCTGTTTGAAGCCCCGAAACTACCAAGTTTTCTTTGAATTCACCCTCATTAAACAGGCATTGCCATAGAACTAGCGTAATGTGAACAATGAGCGTGGAAGAAGATTATTGACCTTGGATTAGGAAATACAAATCACTTGGCCAGGACACTCTTGATAGATGTCCATGGATGAGATGGCTACAAGCTCACCCTGGTATTTCTCCCTTCTCTGTAGGTTTGGTGTCTATGTCCCACTGTGCTGCTTCCATCAAGACAGCAGGACACAGCCAATTCCAACAGACTGCAGCTACTTGGTTCAGGATCAGCTAGTGGATACTGGTGCCTCAGGGGTTGCCTGCCTGGTCAAACCCAAAGACTTCCTCTCTCTCCTGAGAGAGTCTTTGAGAGAACAGTTCAACAACCCCATATCTATTCCCACACACAGCTGTCCCTTGTCCCCAGACCTCATTCGTAATGAGGTGGAGTGCCTGAAAGCAGATTTCAACCGCCGAATCAAGGAGGTTTTGTTCAATTCCCTCTTCAGTGCCTACTATGTGGCATTCCTGCCACTGTGCTTTGTGAAGGTAGCTGTTCTTTGATTCCTTCGCTGCTAAATGTTGCTGCTGCCACCTTCTCCCCAATCTTTTCTGTGGATTGTCAGCCCTGTGGATTTCTGGCTAATTCCCCTTGTCTCTGTCACCCCTTGGGCAGCCTGGATGGCAGAGCATAGCTGCATTGAGAGTACACTAGTATTGCTCCTGTTGGTGGATAGGTATTGCTGCACATGGCGTGCCCCTGTGGGTCCCCCCACTCCTTTCTTTGTCACATCTACTAACACTGTTTTCTTTCTCGGAAAACTTGAACACAAATATATTTTTGTTCTATAAAAGGGCACTTGGTGCCAACTTAAATTCTAATTTGACAGAACCTGGGGCAACAGTGCAACCGCTGTAGATGAATGAAGCAGACATGCTGTGTAGTGCAGTAGCCCATGCCGAGGAGGATCTGGGCATCCCGTCTTACTGGGAGAGCTGCTAAGATGTGTAGCTGTAGAGCACCCCAGCGCTCTGGAGCACTGCTGTTAACTCCCTCTCTGGTTTCTTGCAGAGCACCCAGTACTACGACATGCGTTGGTCCTGCGAACACCTCATCATGGTGTGGATCAATGCTTTTGTCATGCTGACCACACAGCTGCTTCCTCCCAAGTATTGTGACTTGCTACACAGATCAGCTGCCCACTTGGGCAAGTGGCAGAAGCTGGAACATGGTTCATACAGTAATGCCCCCCAGCACATGTGAGTGTGAGCTCGGAGTGTATCTGTTGTTGCTGTTTGTTTGTTTTTTGGGTCAGAGGTTGCATATGAAACTAATTTAGATGCTCTTCATACTTAGGTTTTTGGGACTCAAGACTCTTCGATCCGTATTAGTGTGCATTAGTGATTTCATTTGTATTCTATTTCTCTACTATTGGAAGAATTTAATTTTGCTGGATTTGTCTGGCACTTATCTTCACAAAGTCTTACTGGCAGCATTTACTCCTTACTGTGAAAGGAGGACAATGATTTGCTGCTGAGGATAGGTCTACATTCTTCATTGAAATAACTTAACAGACCAATCTTTTGTACATATTTTCAAAGTACCATTTTTTTTCATACCAGTTTTACGTGGGCTGGTGCCTATCCTTTTCTAGTAATATGGGGTAGCTGAGCAGATCAGTGGAAACTGGCCCGCCTAGAAACTCTGAGATATAAGCAGCCAAGCTCCCAGGGAGTGAGTGATCATAGCAAGCAAACACAGTTAACAGGAGTTTGACAGAGCAGGTCCCAAACTCCTCCCCAGCAAGTGTTTCCCCCTTTGTTTTCTTCCTTGTAACACACTCCCATTTACAGGCATGTCTGTGTTGTTAACTACAAGTCATCCTGTGCAACAGTGAGCAAGAGGCTTAAAGTCAACCATGTAGTGCCAGTGATACCAAGGCTTGCAAGAACAAGAAAAGAGGAGTAGACAAGGAAAGAATGGTACTGCAGGAGAAGGTCTGTCTATGGCATTGGTGCTGATGTGAGATACTGGGATTCCAGGACCGTGGGCTACACTTCATGGCTGATGGATTGCTGGCAAGGAATTGGTTGCACTTCACAAGTGATGGAAAGAATGTGTTTAGCCACAGCATGAAGAAGTTTAGCAGGAGGGTTTGAAACTGAATCAACAGGAGGGAGAAGTACACCTGGGAGTACCAATGGTCAAAGGCTTATGCACCACAACAGAGAGAGCAGCCCTAATTAGTATCCAATGATAGCCTTCCAAAAAGTAGGAAGAAAGCTAGAGTATAAAGCACGTGGTCTTCAATATATATTAATGCCTGGAGTATGGGAAACGAACAGCATGAACTTGAACTCTTAATACAGAAGGGTGAATACAACCTGACAGGTATAACTGAAACTTGGTGGGATGACTACCATTACTGGAATTCAAAAATTGAAGAATGTAACCTCTTCAAGAACAGAATGATATGTTAAAGATACTTATCTCTGCACAGAAATAGAGGAGGATGAGCTTAGTAGCTTCATCAAGAGCATCTGGATTAAGATACATGGAGCAAGAAATAAAAGGAACACAGTGATTGAAGTGTATTACAGACCACTGAGGCAAGTAGAAGACGAGGATGAAAAGCAGATTTCCAGTGTTGCAAAGAGGCATGATATCATCATTATGGGGGACTTTAATTGTCCTGATATTTGTTAGAAGAAATTTTTCCATGTATGGTCCTTCCAAAATATTCCTGATTTGTGTTACTGATAACTTTTTCCAACAGAAAGCAAAAGAAGGATCTAGAGGAATGGCTACCCTTGCTTAACCAAAAGGAAGACCTAGTGGAAAAGTGGCAGCTACAGGAAAGTGGCCATGCCATACTCGAATTCTTCATTCTAAAGGAAGCAGAAGCCAAATATAGTGAGATGTGTACCCTAGATTTTTGGAAAGTGCATTCTAATAAATTTGAAACAATGATAAGCAAAGTCCCATGCCAAGTGATTCTAATGAGAAAAGGAGTCCATGATGTGTGGAAATTTAAAAAAGGGAAACTCTCTCTAAATTCTCTATCGGAATTGTTTGTAACAAGGAAAACAGGTAGAAGACAACCGAGGATGCTCATGTGGCTTCACAAAAAGCTTTAACATGATCTGAAAACAAAAAGGGCATGCGCTGGAAGATTAAGAAAGACCAAGCTACCAATGAATACCAGCAGCATGGAAATACAAGGATGGTGTCCCGAGGGCTAACGCCAGGAATGGCCTGAGGTTAGTGAGGTTTGCTAAAAGCCACAAAAAAATCCTTCTTCCAATATGTCCCCAGTTTAAAGCAAAGGAAAGAAATGTGGGTTCAGCTACTCCATATGAATGGCATAATGGAAATCGATGACAAAGAAAAGGCAGAGGAAGTTATATGACCTTCCTTATGAAGGAGAAGTACAAGTTGAAGGAGCAGGATGGCAGCTCACAATTGATGCCAAGGATCAATTAATTAGGTTGAAAGAGTTCAAATCTCCAGGAGGTGATGGAAATCCACCCTGGAGTCACAAGGAACTGGCAGAAGAACTCTCAGAACCACTATTATCTCTGGGAAATCATGGAGGACGAGGAAATACCAGATGACTGGAGACAGGCTGATTCTGTCCCCATCTTTAAGAAAGGAAAAAGAAGAACCTGGGGACTACAGACAAGTCCATCTGACATCAATCGCTGGGAAAATTCTGGAGCAGATTATAAAGCAGTCAGTTTGCAAACAACTTGAAAAATGCAGTGATTACTTGAAGCCAGCATAGATTTCTCAAGAACAATTCCTGCCAGATTAATCTAATTTCATATTTTGATTGGGTAACCTCCCTGATAAAACTGTGAAAATGCTGCAGACTTAATCTATCTTGACTTCAGCAAAGCTTTGAACATAGTGCCCCACGACCTGCAAACTACCTTGGCAAATCTGATTCCAATTCTGTAGCCAGCTCTGGATCCAACTATCAGGTGGATCCACAGTTGGCTACAGAATTGGACTCAGAGTACTTTTAATGGCACCTTCCCAGAGTGGAGAGAGGTAACAAACATGGTACTGTAGGGTCCAGTCCTGAGCCCGGTACTGTTCAACATGTTTATTAATGATTTGGACAAACAGGTGCAAAGAATGCTGATCTAACTTGCAAATGACACATAATTGAGTGGGATATCTAATACCGTGGAAGGATAGACAGAAAATTCAAAGTGAACTTGACAGGCTGGAATGTTGGGCTGAAACCAACAGAATGAAATTCAACAGGGACAAATACCAGGTTCTGCACCTAGGAAAAGAAAACCAAATGAACGTTACAAGATGGGAGATAGCAGGGTTAACAACATTGCAATTGAGAAGGGCCCTGGAATTGTAGATCACAAGCCACCAATGCGATGTGGCTGCAAAAAAGGCAAATGCTCTACTGGGCTGCATTGGGAAGCTTGGAAGTAAGGCTTCCAAGGCACAAAAAGCACTGGTTTCTCTCTTTTCGGCACTAGTTAGACCCCATATTGAGTGTTGTGTCAAGTTTTGAGATCCACAGTTTAAGAAAGATGCAAGCAGATTGGAAAGAGTTCAGAGGAGGGCAACAAGGATGATCAGGGAACTAGAATCAAACTCAGTGAGGAGAGATCAAAAGAACTGGGCATGTTTAGCCTCGAGAGGACTGAGGGAAGATATGATAGCACTTTTCAAATATTTGAAAGGCTGTCACACTGAGGAGGGCCTGAATCTCTTCTCAGTCATTCTAGAATGCAAAACATAGAATCATGGGCTTACGTTATGGGAAGTCAAATTCCAGGTAGACATCAGGACAAATTTCCTGATTCTCAAAACAGTACAGCAGTGGGACCAGTGGCCTAGGGAGGTTACAGGCTCTCTCGCAGTAGAGGCAGTTGGACAGCCAACTGTTAGAAATGCTTTAACTTGGGGCCACACATCAAGCAGCATAGAAGACTCAATAACTTTTATAGGCCCTTCATGTTTCTGTGGCTTATTTCTGAATAGCCATACATAGGCTTGAGCAGTTGGTTGCTGACCTTGGACCTCATTTCTGCTCAAAATCAGGCACAGTCCTTTGCTCCTTTCCTCCAACTTGAAGCCGGAGGGAACATGGTTCCCATAGTTGCAGTGGGCATTGAAGAGACTTGGAAGCCTGCATATCAACTGCAGGACCCTGCATAAGCCGGAAGCTTTAGTAACACCCATAGGAGTGGATAGTAATAGTTCTGAACAAATTTTGGAGACTGTCAGTGTGGGATGGTATTTATTAGATTATTCCTACCTTTCTGGATACAAATCCTTTCAAGGAAGTTTACAAGTGACACAGCATTCCATTGAAAAAATGCCCACACACAGTATCAGCATAACATACAAGCTGCTGGGAGATGGCTCTGAGGAAAGAGATGGCTGCTCTTTCTGCGCATGCTCGTAGTATAGGAGCAGGCATTTGCCAGTGGCTTGCTGGCTTGCTTCCTTCCCCTCCCCGATACCCTTCCAGTGGGCTTGCTGGTGGCCTTGCCAGCTGGAGCAAGCCCTGGTTTCTCTTTTGCCTGCCTCTGTTTTAAGTCATTTTTAGCTTGGAATAGTAAAAACGTGGTCATATAGGCAGGTTGCCTTAAAAGAGAGGCTAATACCAATTAGTTTTACTTTAGGCTAATTAACACTTCAATTTTAAACATGCTTACCAGAAGCAAGCTCTACTTCAGCAAATTGATAACAGTGGCTTCTAGGTGCAAAAAATAATGAATAGTAGCTTGATTAATGCTTAAGTGGTTAAAAATTATAACACTCCCTGGTGAATAGATTGTCACCTAATTAAGCAGATTATCTAGCAATGTTTGGAAAGTTATCAGTAGTTCCACTGAGAGTAATAATGGATCCATACTGGAATCAAATAAGTCACATAGCAATATGCTTATGAATGGAGTGTCATTATTTGAAGAGTGATGGAACAGGCACTCAGCCTGCGGGATCTCCTATCCATAGTTCACCATTCCTTAATTACCAGCTTACAGGTGAAATGTACCAAGATTTGGAAAGAATCATCTTCATCCTCTGTAGAAGTTTCTGTTGAGCCTTTCCTCCCTGTTAACTTTATACTGACAAGTTTGAAGAAGCACAGAGGAGTGCTTATCCATGGCCATGAAGTAAATTGCTTCTGAATTCCAGCGGAAGATAACCACCAACTATTTACTAAGGATCCATAGCTAGTTAAATCCTTCAGTGTATCAAAGTGAAAGCACCTGAGAGTAATGTATGTTCAGTTTTCGCCTTATGCCATCAGAATCTTTCTTTTCCACAGACAGAAAGCCTTTGCCCCAAAATAAGATTTTGTGTGTCTTCCCTGTCCTAGAGGAGATCAACCCTAACTGCTCTTTAAAAGGCCAGATCCTGAAGATGAAACTCAAATACTTTGGCCACGTAATGAGAAGGAAGGACTCCCTGGAGAAGAGCCTAATGCTGGAAACAATTGACGGCAAATGAAGAAGGGGACAGCAGAGGATGAGGTGGCTAGATGGAGTCACTGAAGCAGTTGGTGTGTGCTTAGGTGGACTCCGGGGGATGGTGGAAGACAGGAAGGCCTGGAGGAGCGTTGTCCATGGGGTCGCGATGGGTCGGACACGACTTTGATACTAGCAACAACTTGTGCACTACAAACACTTTTTCTCTCTCTCAGATTATGCTGGTCTTTGACTGTATAAACTGACTGACTACCACTGGCCTTTTTAAAAACTACCAAACTCTATTTAATTCAGGGTTTACAACTCCATTGAAGCTGCTGTCACCTCATCTACTACTGCCAGAATCTTTAAAAATTCCTAGATTTGCATGTGAGACATGCACTTAAGCAAGTATTTTTTAAAATGTGAAATATTCCTCTAGCTTGACTCTCTACTTCCTGAAAATGCTTACCAAAAACGTTTTCTTACTCTGCAGCTGGTCAGAGAACACAATATGGCCACAGGGAGTACTAGTGCGGCATAGTCGATGCCTGTACAAAGCAGTTGGGCCTTATAATGTAGCGGTGCCTTCAGATGTTTCTCATGCCCGCTTTTATGTAAGTATGTGAATGGGGGATCCGGGGATTCAGCATTTCTTCACTAGGGCAAATTTTTGAGCTCAAGCACGATATTACAGTTCTCTTGTTCCAATTTCATCCTCAGAAAAAATAAACTTTCAGTGCACACCATACTAAACTCTTTCTGGCACTCCACTATATGCCTCCACTGTTGTTTATGCAGAGCTACCAGAATTCAGAGATGCTTCAGCTAATAAGCACATAACAGGGGATCTCTTTGTTCTAGGCATGTTTTGGGTGAAAATTTTAAGCTGTCTCTGTTCATGGAGTTGGATACAGCAGACTAGAGGTCAAGAATTGAGTCTCTACATAAAAGCACAGTCTGAGTGTATTTGAATCTCCCTACACAGATTTGTGTATATATTCTAACTGTTTAAAAATCCTCTAACCTGTCACATATTAATTAATCCCTGGGCCTAGTGACATTGCAGATAGTAATTCTGAATATTCACACCAAGACCGCAGTTCATCATGTGTGAGCCTGGCAAGGGTAGTTGTTGCCATGGTTAACAAACCCGGACTCGCGGGTTGTTTTTAAGGTTGTGGGTGGTTTGCCACTCTGGCCCAAGGATTTAGCTGAGGACAGCTGGCAAAATGCGCAGGTGGCACTTTTCACGACTGTCAACCATTTCTCCCAGGTTCCTGACAATGCTCCCTTGAGCATCCACAGGAGCACAGCAAGAAGCTGCCAGGACCTGCAGCATGCCCCCTTTCCATTTGGGGCCTAGGGAGATGATGCACAGCAGAAAGAGCAGCCATCTGGTCTCACTTCCTCACAAGGAAGCGAGGCCAAGTGGCTCGCCATCACCACCAGTGCAGGAGCAGGAAGGAAAAACCCTGCGGAGAAAAGCAAGGAAGACAGCTTGGCTCCTGTCTGCCATGTTTCTCTGCCTAGTGGGGAGAAGAGAAAATGGTCCGAAGCGTCTCCTGTTGCCTGGGAGGGTCACAGCTCTTTGGACTTGCTAGGGTTGAAGCCCTAGACTTCTCACAGTGCAATCATATGCATGTTTCCTCATGTTTCCAGACGGCTTTTATTATGCAGTTGCCCTGCTTCATTCACAGATAGGGTGGGAGCCCAGATTACTTTTTGCCTCCCACTTTTTCCCACCATTTCTTCCACCTTTGGTATCAAAGAAAATCCATTTAGAAGGGAAACATGAAATAGCTGTACAATGCCTTTTACTTAGCACTAGGCAGCCTTTGTCTGGAAGCTGCCTTAATCCTTGGAATATATGTATAGCATTGTAGTCACAGTCATGTAATTTTTTTTCGGGTTACAGTTTGGTAGCCAAGTGCTATTTTATTTGACTATGTTTGAACATTTGTTTCCATGAAAAGCTTCCAAAGCATTGTTGCAGTTGTTTGGTCTTGGCTGTTTCTTCCCTTGCTCCAAAGGGAAGTTTTATGAAACAGTCCATGGCTTGTTTACCATTTAAGCACTGTTTTTGTTCTCCTTCAGTTCCTCTTTCACCGTCCATTGCGGCTCCTTAACCTGCTGATTCTTATAGAAGGCAGTGTTGTCTGCTATCAGCTGTACTCCCTGCTTCGCTCGGAAAAGTGGAACCACACACTCTCGATGGCGCTGATACTCTTCTGCAACTACTATGTTTTATTTAAACTCCTACGGGACCGGATGGTATTGGGCAAAGCGTACTCTTATCCTCTCAACAGCTATGGGTTAAAAGCCCATTAATCAATCAATCTGAGGAAGGGAATGATATTTTCATACAGTTCTATTTTTTCCTTGCAACTGTTTATAAATATTTAAATAAGTATTTTATATTTTGTATACTACTGTTTTTTGTGGGGTAGGGAAGGGCCAAGTGGCAATTAAATGTCGCTTTATAAAAAAGGTGTTATTTTATATCAAGCCCATATGTATATACTGTATATCAACATATAACTATGTGCAGTGAGAGCATTGTATGTGTGGTCACTTCATCTGCTTTGCACACACAAGCGTAGCATACAGTGCTTCCTGGCTTTACATGAGGATCTGCTCATGCATGAGATCTCTAGGAATGTGGCCATGCCTCAGAACAAGGGAATGAGGGGTATTCAGCATCATGTTTTGCGATAGGCAAGATCACTTCATTTTGCACTGTGGCTGCTGCAATCCTAAACAAGCTGCACTGTTCGGTCTGTACAAGATCCATGGGTGGAAAAGCACTGAAGGGATAGGGCTGAACGAGTTTAGCCTATTTGGCATGTGTTCTGTGGATTGTCAGACAAATTTCCCCCCTTCAAATAAGTATGCAGAAACATCTGCTGTGATTTATGTAATTTTCAGTGGTATGAAATAAGTTGCATATTTAGTTCAGTGTGCAGTTAATGAGCACAATGTACAGCAATTTGCATGTGGCTGCAGAATTTTTTTAAGCATTCCATGGAATCTGCATAATACAGAAGATGCTGGTCTGCCACAGAATCTGTGGGTTGAATTCATAGAAATTCAAAGTCATCTGAATCAGTTTCAGATTTCTCTGGCATCTCATGGGACACCATGGGAGCACTCTGGGCAGCTCTCACCTTCTCCCCTGCCCCACACTCTTGTCACTTGCTCACAAGCAATCCCATTTTCCCAGCAGGAGTATGGGGAGGTAATCTGGAGTAGGGAGAAGGGACATATTTGGCAGGGCTTCCTCCCAGGTAGATGTAGTCAAACATGTCGCCCCCTCCTACAAGTTTTTACTGGAATCCAAACTCTGAATGAGACCCACAGTTGCATTATGGCAGAACTAGTCCTTCCACCTCTGAAAACAAGAGGCAAAGCAACGCGTGGCAATCTTTGGTGTTTTCCCAGATATATTTTTAAGCCAGACTTTTGTTACATCTCATTTAGAACATTATATGGCTCTGTCATATAAGGAATGTGAATTACAGGTACATAATTTCAACTGCTGGATCTGGATCAGGTAACTTAGTGATATTGCCTGTTAACAGAAATAGGAGAGATGCTGCTTCATACATATCTTGTATTGTCAGATTTTATGGACAGACATTTGGCACACTGGCAACAGGTACAATGACTCTCAAAAGTAAACTCACTTTTCACTTTCACACAAGACTTTACAGTTTTGCTGAACTAGCTGGAAGAGAGGGGCAGCGGTAAGTGCTATTACTGGCTGCAAAAAGGTATGCTAGATTAGGCATATGCCAAAAGTGAATTTTCTTTTAAATTAGTATCAGCACTTGAAGTAGGATCCCCTACCTTCCCTACTTCTATGCAAGATAATTAAAAGCTGACAATATTCAAGGGTAGCTTATGTCATCTCTGCTGAGTGAAAGAGAGAAATGGGAAGCAGAAAAAACAACTTCTGGGTTATGTACAAGTCTCTGCAGAATTTGGCTCTTCCTAAGAGTCAGCATCTCCTGTGGGTATAGATTCACTGTATGAGCAATGCAAGATCTGAACCCACAACCAAAATATGAGTTGTTACCCCTTCCTTATTATGTCATTATTCCACACACACACACACACACACACACACACACACACATATAGATAGAGAGAGAGAGAGAGAGAGAGAGAGAGAATTATCAGGCATAGTTTTATGGCGATCCACTTGTGGGGAGGGAGCATGCCATGCCATTATCAGAAAAAGCCAGCCAGGCCTTAGGCTGTAAGAACAACCATTTGGTTCAGTCTTGATTTAGTTTAGAATCCCACAGCTAGCTGCATTACCCAAGAATGTCATAATAAATGAGTGGTTTTGCTGTTATGTTACGAAGTTGCTCCAGCTTCAGGCCAATCCGGAAGAGTAGAGCTTCATCCCACCACTTTGCCATGATCTGAAAGTGATACAGCAGGATACAGTGTGAGAAGGAATGCTGAGAGAAGTAACTAAGATATATATGGGAGTGGCGGGAGGTAGAGGAGCAGATCATACCCAGTTCATATGTGCCACAGCTTGCCCAACTGCTGAAAAGAAGGGCTTTTAACAAGACACTGCAGTGAAATGAAAGCAAATTACAGGAGAACTGGTCAACCTTGGGGTCAAGTGAAGTTTTGGTTGATTAGAGCAGTGCTGACCAAAAGTTCTGTAACGTTACAGAGCAGTACCATTTTAGAAACCCCACCTATCTGTGCTATGAATGCACAATACGGGCACTTCACTTACCTCCCATGAAAAGCCACACCCTTTCAAGAAGGGCCTGTATCACACACGAAGCTAAACACAAGAGAATACTGCTGAACATGGTATAGTCAGCAAGTTTGCCTTGGCAGTCTTTCTATGATCTCCCACGGCTGCCATTCCATTCCACACAGAAGTATGCGGTAAAGATACAGGATAGCTGTGGACCTGTAATCAGTACTGCTGCTGCCTGTGTTAACAGCATAGCATAGCACAGCCTGGCTGACTGACCTATCCCATACTTAGTTCTGTTCTTGAACCACAACCAGCCATATTCTTTGAAAGGAAACTGGAGAAAGACATTCTCACTGAGTTTCAGTAGGGTCTTGCAGCAAGGTAAAATGGGAGCAGAGAGCACCTCCCTCTCATGAGAAAGCACACCAGCTCCTGACATGTCAAGACAGGTAGTGTCTCACGTGTGAGAGGGGTATCAAGCAAGCGAGGCAGCCAGACAGGGTTGCAAGGCAAGCAGAGGAATTAGTCTGGAAGGGAGCAACACTTCACTGGTCTTGTTCACAACAACTCTGCAAACTGCATGCAGGGGATCATGGGAAAAGAACAAAGCTGCAGTCCACTGGGGGTCACAGTTACCTGAAGGCTAATGGGAAGCCCTGAAACAGTGTATCCAACTGGTACCACTAGTGCTGGAATGCCTGTCAGGTTGGCCAGCTGCATGTATCTGCAAGGATCAAGTGAAGATGAGGAAGAATTGTTCAGGTTACTGACTGCCAGGAAACCTCTAGAGAAGAAACAATGATCTCGGGTGGTTTTAATTGCAGCATTACAGCCAACATCAAGCATGAGACATCCGAGAGACAAGCAGTAAATGAAATTACTGGTGCAGAAAGATTATTCCAGCCTTAACAGTACAACTAGACCAAAGATCTGTCATGACTCAGCAGCCACAGCCTACTTGAGCAGATTCAACTTTGGAAGCAAGAGCTGCCCTAGACCAGTGCCCTTCACATGTTTTGGACTGCACCTCCCATAATCCATCCCCATTGTCTATTAGCTAAAGAAATACCAGCTGAATTTAGGAGAACTTCCATCCAGCACCATTTTGCCCTCCCTACAAGTTTGTTCTCTGTTCCTCATCTCCCTCTCCTATAGGTGTCCCTCTGCATCTAACAGCACACAATCTTGTTTTTACCTTATGGTCCGAATAGTTGTCTGAACGTCACTACATCCAGTCAGGAGATCAGAGCCCTGAATTTTTGGAGCACAACAAGCAGTTCCTGTTCCAAAAGGAAAAATGGAATTGTTTAAAAAGTCACTTGCTTTTCTACTAACCTGGGTGATGGGCTGAGTTTTCAGCTTGTAAAGTACTGAGTACTTTTCTGCAGAATTGCAGCATTGGCCGAAAGGGGACTTCCAATACACCATTTCCCAACCATGTGCAAAGGAAAGTTCAAATCAAGCCACTACGATGAGTTTCAGGGCTCAAACGCCAGGTATGCTCTCTCTTCCAGGTCTCAGAATAATGCGGCGTTTCATCTTGTCAACACTGACATCCATTGAGTTTCTCCAGCTGCACCACAATAGCTTTCAGGATACAATCCTGAATAAACTTTCCTTGTACAAAGTTATATATTTGATTCTTAAACTGCCCCATCACAAGCATAAAGCTACTTGTATGTACTTTCACACAAGCAGACCTCACAAATGATTAGCTAGGTTCTCATTAACCAAGAACATGCAACTTCTTTGGAAAGTTGTACTCCTTGAACATAAAATGTCACCTGTAGACACAAAAATAAAATTTACATGCATAAGTCAAGTTCTGAGGTGTCGGTTATCTTCCAAGTGTTAAAAGGTAGCTTCATCCTCTAGTTTCCAGGAAGTTCATTACAGAAAGGATTGAGGCTACAACACAACACTTCATTAAAACATAGCCCCTGCAAAATCTTCTCAATCTTATTACTGCAACTTGCACACAGGCAAGGAAACAAATTCTCAAGTTAAATTCTCTAAAACAATCTACAAGTTATCACAAACATTTTAAAATGAGTTCACATCAGATACCTGGAGTGAGGAGGCAGTTCACATTTGCAAACATCTCCTGCAAGAAGGCTATGGTGCGGCTCCGCTGTCGATTTGCCTGCAAATACAAGGGGAGAACTAAGCCAATCAACAAGGAAGGTGCCGTCCCGTAAACAGATTACAGTAAAGCTTGGAAAGTGGAGGTAAATATACACGTGATGCATCACAAGTCACCTCAGCCAAATGCAAACCACTTTCTGAGCTGTCTAGGAAAGGAAGGAAAAGCCTAAATATTGAGAAAATGTATTCTGCTTGGAACATAAAGAGAACAGTCCAAAAGTCAACAGGAACAAAGGAGCAATCCAAACATAGACAGATGTTACCTATGCTATTAAAATGCTTCCAGTTCTAGTATTCACATATTTTAAAGGGCTTCTGAAAATTTATTTCAATTTCAACTTCATAATTTAGTAACTGGAATTATGATTTATCATTTAATTACTTCCTGAAAGGGGAACTCTAGTAAATTTAAAGATCACAGCCTACTGCTTGATCCTGACTTCATAAACCATAATTCAAAATAGGGATTGAAAACTTCCAGCCAGCAGGCTGAATTCTGCCTACCAGGCCTCCCTGTCTAACCCACAAAAGTCTCCAACTAGGCCTTTTTCCAAAGGGCTCCTGAAAAGATGAGGCTTCCATACATGTTCCTCAATGGTAACAGTGGCTCAGTGTGTGATGGATGGACTTTTGCATATGCCTGGTGCATTCATACAAGATGTTACATGTGTTTTAACACATTACACTAAACTAAAACACACACACAACCCCAGTTGACTGAAAACCTGGATAATGCAAAGCCATTTAACTGAAAGGAAGGCTGGAAAAATGAAAACCCATCTCCGTGGGGCTTTTTGTCTTTTTTAAAAAGAAGCCCACTAATAACAAAAAAATGCATGCCTCTGCTTTTCAAAAGTTTGCATATTCTCTCTCCATCTCTTATCTGCAAGGAAGAACTTACTCCCCTATCCCCTGCAACCTGCTTTTTACCTTGATGTAATCCAGAGCTGAGAACTGAGAAGCAATTGCAAGATTTAAACGAGTGTCCAAATTCTGGGGAAAAAAAATATCAGGGTAAGTTTCAATTGTAGAATCAAAAGCAACACAGAATCACTGAGAAGTTGCACATGTAAAACATCTGATAGCTACATAGCAGACTCTAAGGTACTGAAATTAGATCACTCAACCTCCAACCTTTAGACAAAGCAAAAAGCTAAAAGACATCAGCAAAATCGTGCAAAGGAAAAATGTGTTTCCCCACCCCCTTATTATTTTCTTCCTCTCCAGTCTTCTGTATGCTTGTTTTCAGCAGGCATTGATCTCAGATCTGAAAACTGTTTAATAATACCAAGAAATAGAAAAATAATGAGAAGATAAAAGCTGCCTTTTTTAAAGAAGTATTCTGTTCTACTGGCATCCTTGCACAGGTGTACCAGAAACAAGTAGAACATAGAAACAGAAACAGAGCAAGTCAGAAGGCGTCTCCCAGACCATCTAGTCTGACCCCCAGCTTCAGCCAGCTCTGCTCATGTCATGCCTACCATTTGCATGTCCTGCCTATCCTTGAACACCCTCACCGATGGGGCTTTGACCACCCATTCCATACCCTCAGTGTCCTAGCTGTCAGGAAGTACTTCCTGGCATCCAAACTGAACCTTGCTTCCCTGAGCTTTGCTCCATTGAAATGTGTCCTGCCCTCCTCTGCAGGGGAAAACAAGTCTCTACCCACCTCTGCATGGAGCCCCCTCATGTGCCAATATGTCACTAACGGATCTCCACAGAGTATCCTCTTCTCCTGACTGAAAAGACCCAGTTGCCTCAGTCTTGCCTCACACCGCTTTCCCTGCAATCTGCCCACCAATCCTTGTGGCCCTACACTGCACTGATTCCAACCTGGCTATATCCTTCCTGTAATGTGGAGCCCAGAACTGAACACAATACTCCAGTTGTGGATGCACCAGCGTCATATAGAGTGGCAGTAATACCTCTTTCAATCTAGATGTCATGGTTCTGGCTAGGCATCCAAGGGTGGTCTTTGCCCTCTTGACCACTGCCTCACACTACTGACTCATGTTCAGCCTGCAGTCAACCAGCACCCTAAAATCCCTTTCACAAGGGCTGCTCTCCAGCCACTTGTCCCCTAACCTGTACTTATGACACCCATTCCTATGCCCCAAGCGCAAGACTTTGCACTTATCCACATTGAACTCCATCCTGTTGTCTCCTGCCCACTTCCATAGTCTGTCCAGAACTTTCTGGTTCCAGAGTACCTGCTCCTCAGTTGTGGCCACTGCCAAAAAGAAGAACCAAGAAACTACAGACCAGTCAGTCTGACATCAATCACTGGGAAAATTCTCACGGAAATTATAAAGCAGTCTGGAAACACTTTGAAACAATGCAGTAAATACTTGGAAGTCAAAAAGGCTTTCTCAAGAACAATTCCTGCCAGACTAATCTGATTTCATTTTGTGATTGGGTAACTTCCCTGGTGGACTGTGGAAGTGCTGCAGACATAATCTATTTTAACATCAGTAAAGCTTTTGACAAAGTGCCCCATAATCTGCAAACTAGGCAAAAGTGGGCTAGATGGAACAACTGCTGGATGGATCCATAGTTGGCTACGGACTCGGACTCAAAGAGTGCTCATCAACAGCACCTTCTCAGACTGGGGAGAGGTAACAAGTGGGGTACTGCAGGGTTCATTCTTAGGCCCAATGCTCTTCAATGTTTTCGATCATCCCAGATTGCAGGACACAGAATAACATGATCAAACCTCAGTCTGGCTAAGTATCAGGAAAAATTTGCTGACTGTTATTGCAGTACAACAGTGGGGACCAGTGACCTAGGAAGGTTGTGGGCTCTCCAACACAAGAGGCATTTAAGATGCAGCTGGACCTGAGAGGGATGGTTTAACTTGGAGTCTTGAATGAGCAGGGAGTTGGACCCAATAGTCCTCTGGCCACCTCCAGCAATACTATTTTCAACTATTCTATGATTCCACATTAAGTCCAAAGTTGTTTTCTTCTTCCATGCCAGGCAGGTGTCCTGGCACCGAACAGCAGTACTTATAACCCCAAATGAACAACCACACTGTAAATAATTCCAACTAGACATCACTTATTGGAGACCTCCCAAAAGCAGCACCTGAGCAGGCAGAGACCTGCAACTTACAGTGATTATTTATTTATTATTTATTTAGAAAGCTTCTATGCCGCCCCATTCACCGAAGCGTCAGGGAGGCTCACAACAACAAATAAATAATAACAATATAAAAACAATATAATTGGAGACGTCCTGGCCAAAGATGTAAAATAAATAAATAATATTAGCAATTAAAATAACGTTTAAATAAAAAGGTCTTCGACTGGTGCCGAAAAACAAATAAAGACGGCGCCAGGCGGACCTCTCTGGGGAGCGCATTCCATAGATCGGGCGCCACCACAGAGAAAGCCCTCCTCCGAGTACTTACCCTCCTAATATCCTTCACGGAGGGTTCCCGGAGAAGGGCCTCTCCCGCTGATCTCAAGGGGCGGGCGGGCATATATGGACGTAAGCGCTCCTTTAGGTAACCAGGACCCAAGCTGTTAAGGGCTTCATAGGTCATCACCAACACCCTGAATTGGGCCCAGACTTCAATGGGGAGCCAGTGAAGCTGATGGAGAACTGGAGTCATGTGAACATAACGTCCAGTCCCCGTCAGCAGCCTGGCGGCTCTATTTTGAACCAATTGAAGCATCCGGACTGACTTCAAGGGGAGCCCCACGTAGAGCGCGTTACAGAAGTGAAGTCGGGAAGTCACCAACGCGTTTGTCACTGTCGCCAGGCAGTCGTTCTCCAGGTAGGGACGCAGCTGATGGACCAGCCGAAGCTGAAAGAAAGCGCTCCTCACCACCGCTGCCACCTGAGCTTCCAGTGAAAGCTCTGGGTCGAGGAGCACTCGCAAGCTGAGGACCTTGTCCCTAAGAGGGAGTGCAACCCCATTCAGGACTAGGTCAAGGTCCCCTTCCCCGAAGCCCGATCCACCAACCAACAGGACCTCCGTCTTGTCTGGATTGAGCTTCAGTTTACTGGCCCTCATCCAGCCCATTACAGCCACTGCCTCACCTGGATTGGTGGAAAATAAGAGGTAGAGCTGGGTATCATCAGCGTACTGATGATTCCGCAGCCCACACCTCCTAATGAACTCTCCCAGCGGTTTCATGTAGATGTTAAATAGCAAAGGGGACAAAATGGATCCCTGCGGCCGGCAAGATGGCAGCGCCCTCCTCAGCTGCGACGGTGGCCCCGGTATGGACCGGCGGTGGCCGCAGGAGCGGCATCAGCTGGCCCCCAGGCCCGGCGGCGTGCCTCAGGTCTTCTGTCAGCATGGGCCTTGGTGGCGGCGGCGGCGGCAGCAGCAGCAGTGCGGCAGGTGTTCCAGGGAGGGAGGGGGCTCCGATCCAGCTCCTGCCCCCTCCTGGTTAGAAGTGGGAGATGTCTAGTGCCCAACTAGCTTGCATATGTCCAGATAGAAAGGGATGACCTCTGGTTCCACTGCTCCCCCTCTTCAGAACTTCCCCTCCTTTGCCTCCAAATGGCTCTGAAACTTCGGGCTCTGCTTGCTTCTCACACTAGGCATGTTTGCTCATCTGGCTGCCATTAAGTGGTCTGGGCAGAATTCAGACTTGTCAGATCTACTTTGCTTTCACTAGAATCACATGATCCAGAGCCAAACAGAAGACATGCACTTAGAGTACAAGGACAGGGTGCCTTAGCACATTCTGAGATGGCTGGGTTTCAGTATTAGAACTGAACTGAGCACCCAGTCCTTCCCCACAAGAGCAGTCCTAGTTACCTGAGTTCCAGCATTTTGTCGTTGCTTTTACTGAGGAGTTCTGACAAGGGTAGGCAACTTCAGATGTTTGGGAAGGCAACCATATCCAAATGATTGCTATGATCATGTGAAAACACATAGCTGGACAACTCCTTTATCCAGCACAGTCAATCATAAGAGATTGATGCTGGAACTGCTGGCCAGTGCTCTGGCATTTTGAGCCCAGCCCTGTGAGATGGAGTGAGCTTCTATCGCTACCCACCTAGCAGTTTGAAAGCATACCATCTGTGAGTAGACAAATAGGGACCCCTATTCTCCGGTGGGAAAAAAGCTGGTTACGTTCACATGGAAGCAAGGACCAGCGCTGGATCTGCTTGAACATATTTGGTGAAAGATTGGCAGAGGAAAGCCCCAGAGGAGCGGACTTCTTCAAAAGCGATGCTGGCCAGCCTGTGTTAAGCTAGATCGCCCTCCAGTGGTGCACCAGTACAAGAAAAGACTAGCAACTGTTGCCCACCAAAACATTTACCATGTGTAAAAACATTGTCGACTCCCTGGCCATGTATTCCATACACTAAATAAATAAAGAGGAGCTGTAGTCCAAACCGTTTTGAAAGTACCAGATTGCCTATCTATCCCTGAATTCAGAGTTGGAACCCATTGCTGATATAACCGACCACAGATCGACCACTAGATCCTAGTCTATTTTCTGCTGACCTCTGAGGGGATGACCTCTGGTTCCACAGATGGTTCTAGATAAGGCCATCTGAAAAAAAAATCCCCTTCCGCCCAACCCACATTAACAAAATGGGGAGTGGGGGAACAGAAAGACTCGGACAGGTCCCTGAAGCCAAGGTAAAGGCAACTTAGTGCAGTCCGTGCACCACAAAAGCAAGTGTTTCTAAATTGTGGAGGGGGATCTTCTGGAACACAAAACATGCATTCTTAGGCTGGTCGGTGCAGACCTGCTTGCAAGCAATGAGAGACATGAATGATGGCCAAGATACTTTAACCACCAGAGGGACTTTGCATGGCGCCTGCAACCAGCTGCACAACCACTGAGTTGTACAGGGAGTTCTAAAAGCGAAGTTCTAAAAGTGAAGCAACAAATTTCATACAGCCTATTTGTGCAAAATGCAAATTAATGCAATGAGGTGGCTAATAATGTAGCCCATGAGCTCATCCACTACTTACCATTTGTTGAAAATGATTGTTGAAGTCTGGCTGCAGGAAATCTCTCATTTCACTGAGGATGCAGATAACGTGGGCCACTCTCACCTCCTCCATCTCTGGCAGGGACAGATCAACCACGGAGGCACCAAAGCCTTTGAGGAACTCCACAGCTGCATAATGCATGGCCACAGGCAGGGAATGAAAAAAAAATGAGAGGTTTAATTGTCTAATCAACTTTTTCAATATTGTTCTGCAAACCTGAGGAGTCAGGTTTCCACACATGCATATAGAAAGGATCTTAGCTATGACATTTCCAAAAGGCAGTAATAAAAGCCAGTTTTCAGAAAGTGTTTGTCCCATTGACCTTAAGCGATCACCATGATCATGTGAAAACATGTAGGGATTCTCCATGCGACACCTGCATAAGCCCACCCAACCCATCCCAAGCCATGCCGAGACCGATCCAAGGATTGTGCCCAAGCTGCGGTTCATGAAAACAGGCATCAAGAATCAATTTGCTGCAAACATGTAGACATACTAGCACAATTTTGTTTGCATATACAGGGAAGCATCTGATGTCGTAGAGCATGCCACTCTACATGGCTTCCACGGAAAGGTCCTCCTAATTTTGTGCCTTGTTTTTATATGAAATGCAGCCATGGGTCAATGGTACTACAAGGAGGAGATGTCTAACCTTTTCTCTAGCATCATGTGCTTGATCAGA